TTAGGATCAACAAATCCTTCAGGTTGGTGCATATAAATATTTTTATCAAGATCACCATGTAAGAAAGCAGTAGTCACATCCATTTGTTTTAATTCCCAATTATACTGAGCAACTAAAGACAACATGATTCTAATTGTGGTGAACTTGACAACAGGAGAAAAAATTTCTACATAATCTATTCCCTCCTTTTGAGTAAATCCCTTAGCCACAAGTCTAGCCTTAAACCTAACATTTTCAGGTTCTTGCTTAATTTTAAACAACCACTTACAGTCCACAAGAGAACAGTCTTCAGGTTTTGGCACAAGTTTCCACGTTTGGTTAACACGAAGGGATTCCATCTCACATTTCATAGCACTAACCCATTTTTCAGAACATTTAGATTCTAATGCTTCATGATAAGTCTTAGGTTCATCACACTCAAGGGATTCAAACACATGAAAAGCAAACTCAGACATATTACAATCATCAACATATCTCGCAGGTTTGCTAATGGTTCTTCTATTTCTATCCCTAGCAAGTTGATAGTCATGCAAATCATTTTCAACATGTGATTCTACACTATCATGCTCCACCTCATTATAAATAGTCTCATCTTCATTAGTGTGTGAATCAACATGTTCATTAGTTTCTACATGCACATCAGTAGGAATGATAACAGGCAATTGCTCCACCTCATTTGGAGCCACATTTTCAACATTGGGAATAGGCACGGACAAACAAGGAAAATTATTTTCATTGAAAACAACATTTCTACTTATCACAATTTTGAAACCTGGTTCGCCTTTTACCCACAACCTATAACCCTTTACCCCGTCAGGATACCCTAAGAAAACACATAGTTTAGATCTTGGTTCGAGTTTATCATTCATTTGATGCACATAACCAGCACAACCAAACACACGCAGGTTTGATAAATCCAGGGGTTTACCCGAGAAAGCAACTTCTGGGCAATTCCCTCCTAAAGGTATAGATGGAGACCTATTGATCAAATAAGCAGCAGTGCAAACAGCTTCGCCCCAAAATTTTTTAGAAAGTCCAGAAGTAGCTAACATAGCCCTCACCCTCTCTAAAAGAGTTCTGTTCATCCTCTCAGCAACCCCATTTTGTTGAGGCGTGTAAGGAACAGTTTTGTGTCTTTTAATACCCCAAGTAACACACAAATTATCAAGTTGTTTGTTGCAAAATTCAAGGCCATTATCTGTCCTAAGTGCTTTTATTTTCTTCCCAGTTTGGTTCTCAATCAAAACTTTCCAGTTTTTAAATTTATCAAAAACTTCAGATTTTTGTTTCAAAAGTAAGACCCAAACTTTCCTAGAATAATCATCAATTATGGAAAGAAAATATTGGTTCCCTCCGTGAGTGGAAACACTTGCGGGACCCCACACATCGGCATGCAAATATTCAAGCACATCAGAACACTTAGTTCGAGTAACAGGATTCGGGTTAGGAAAACTAACGCGGGTTTGTTTTCCAAGCACACAAGATTCACA